CGCTACCACTGAGCTCTACCCTCCCTGCCCAGAGTGGACAGGTCTGAAGGTGGCTGGCCACTCTCAAACGTGGTCCCAGGGGCAGAACTGTGGCTCATCACAATGGAGAAAACTGATCCCTGGCAGAGCTGTGGGAGGCACAGAGTGAAACAAACCCTTCTCCTTGAAGAAAGAAAATGTGTTCTTTCCCACCCGGACCGTGCATCCTGCACAGGCGTTGGCAGGAAGGGGGCGGGAGGAAGAAAAAGAGGAAGGAGGGGCATTTCCTCTCACAGACTGGGTTGCCAAAGCAGCTGCTCCAAGATTCCTCTTTTCTGTGGGCCTTCCAGACAATGTGGCCCTGCTGCTTCTCCAGAAAAGACTTCGTCATGTGGCACACTCATTCGAGACTGTTCTTCCTCCCTGCTCTGTTTCCCACGTCTCCGCTGTTCCTTGCCCACTCTTTTCAGGCCACTTTCCTCACTGCTCCCCATTTTGGCCAGGCTGGGTTCGTCTTTTGAAGCCTGAGTAAGTCTACACACCTCTGGTTGCCCAGAAAAGAAACTCTCTTCACATTGGCTTAAACTAGAAAAGGAACGTATGGGCTTAGAATTACCGTAGGACTCAGCAATTCCACTCCTTCGTATATATCTCAATGAACTGAAAACAGATATTCATACAAATACTTAGACGTGAGTGTTCATAGCACCGCTATCCGTAATAGCCGAAAGGTAGAAGCAACTCAAGTGTTCATCAGAACGGACAAACGAAATGTGGTAGGTATATCCTTACAGTGGAATGTTATTCAGTGGAATTAGACAGTAAAAAAGCATCATGCTAAGTGAAAGCAACCAGGTGCAAAAGGTCACGTGCCGTATGACTCTATTTATATGAAACTTCCCGAGAGGGAGAGGGCATAGGGAGGGACTGCTTGACAGGTACGGGGTTTCCTTTTGGGGTGATGGGACTGTCCTGGAATTGGATAGAGGCAACAGTTGCACAGTATTGTGACTGTGCTCAATGCCACTAAACTGTGCACATTGAAATGGTTAATGGTTAATTTTATGTTATGTGAAATTTACCTCCATTAAAAAAAAAAGTGCTTAAAAAATAAAATCTAACGACAATTTGGGAGGGGGAGACATTTTTGTTGTAAACAAAAGTTCAGGATGAACCCTGCTGGCTTCAGACCTGGCTGAGTCCTGGGGCTCTGCAAAGCTACTGAGGTTTTTTCTTCTTCTCTCAGCATCTCTTTTATCTCGGCAGCCCTCACAGGATAGGAGGAGAGGGCCCCTGCCAGTTCTGGTGTCCCATGTTGCTCAGTGAGCAAGAAAGACTTCTTCCTGGGTTGGACCAATCACCCCGACCAGGGTCTGGAGACCTCTAACTGATCTGGCTCCAGTCATATGGCCACCCCTGCAGCCAGCTCAGGATGGCGGTCTGGGAGAACGTGTGAGGTTGGCACTACCCAAAGGTCATAGGCCGAACAGGGTACTGTGGAAGGGGAGGGGTGATTCCCTGAAGGGAAAGATGCTGGGTAGTGAAAGTAACTTCCATAGACCCTTCACTGGCTTTCTCTCCATTTTCCCCGGAAGACCCTCCCTTTTCCCCCAACCCTGTGCCACAGCGCATCTCCTTCCCAAAGCATCTTTGCTCCCTTGGCCCACTGGGACCTCCCTTGCCAGCAGTACCACATTTAGGGGCAGAATCCAGCCCTATAGGTGGTCATTTTAATTTGTTCAGTCTTTACAGAGAGCAACATGGCATTGTGCACTAAAATTTGAATGTTCTTCTCTTTTGACCCTGTAGTTATACTTTTAGAAATATATCCTAAGGATAAATCCAGCAAGAGTGCAAAAGTGTACACACAAAGGGTTAGCCTCTGGGTGATTGTTGATAACAGTGAACACGGAATAACGTAAATGATCATCAACAGGGGCGGGTTAAATAAGTTACGGTAAAGAAAGGGCAGTCATGCTGCTGTTTAAAAGGATAACAAATATCTCCATTTATTGACTTGACCATGAAATTTAATTAAAAAAAAAGGATATAAAAAGGAAACGTAGTATGACTCCATATTTAAAAAATGTCACCCTTGTAAATGAGAGGGGAGACCATAAGTTTCAGTCTCTACGTGGACTTCAACACAGCTTAATGACCAAAATTAATGCAAAATAAATTCCATTGTTTAATTACATTTCCAGGAGAACATTAATAGGGTTCTAGGTCGTAAGAGCCCATCTCAGAAGCCCAGTCCTCCAAGCCCTCTATTCCCTGTGCCCTCTGTGTCTTTTTTTTTTTCTTTGTAATCATTTATTTCACTAGTGTCAACATCTGAAGTTATTTTATACTTTTGGTTGTAATTCAGTGGTACAGTATTTGGCTGCTTAGTTCATTCTTGTTTTGGCTTTGGAGCACTTTCTCCATTGTCTCGTGTTTTCATTTGGCATAATTCCATTTTGTGTGTGTGTGTGTGTGTTTTTCCTGTGTACTTCTTTACATTCTGATCCTTGAAGATTATCCGGGCTCATCTGTTTACTCTCTGAGTCCTAGTAACAGCCATTTCTCCCCAACAGCCTCGAATGTGCTTCAGTCTGAACACTACTGAATTCTAGTCCATAAGGCTCTTCCCTCCTCTGGACATGACGCCGCCCACTGCATTCCTTTACTGTGTAGATCAATTTAGCTCTTCTCAGCAAGCAATAATTCTTCCTCTCTCTAGAAGAGACAAATAAGGGGAAACCAGAGAGGCAAATTCAGGATTTTCTTCAGTGGGCAAGGAGAGGAAGAAAGCTAAGACACTCTGATATTAATAATAATAAATAATAATAATAATGATTTTATTTATTATTGTATTTTAATTATCATTTTTTATTGGGGGGAAGGCAGTAATTAGGTTTCTTTATTCTTAGAGGAGGTACTGGGGATTGACCTTGTGCATGCTAAGCATGCGCTCTACCACTTGAGCTAGACCCTCCCCCAATAATAGTAATTGTATCTCATGTAAAACATGTATCTGCATGCATAGAAAATACGCAGAGGCATACAGAAAAACATACCGAATGGTATCAGGACTATTGCTGGGTGGTGGGATTAATAGGTGATATTTAGCTCTCTTCTTTATACTTTTTGACTGAAATTCTTTTTATAGAGCATGTTCTAGTTTTATATTGAGAAAGCTTTTTTTTTTAAACAAGAAGCCTTCATGCTGTGGCATATTTCTTTTTATTTTTTTTTCTTTTATTCTTTGTTTTTCAAGATCCAGCAAAGGATAAAGAGAATTGAGACCCTGAATCCATCCTCAACACAAGATAATTTTTCTTTAATTTTAGAACATTTAAAAAGTAACCCTTCCTTCACATATTAACAAGAAATACGAATAAAAGAACATTCCTTAGTGGGTTTATAAATATTACCCATAATACGCTACTGTGCAGATTCATTTAAAGTAAGGTTACGGCCTGTGGTGTAAGGGCTGAGCTTGTCCCGAGGGCCAAGGTCAGTCCCTCCGCAGCCTGGGGCTGGGCTGGGCTGGGCAGTGGTGGGGGTGCTGGCCACCCTCAGCAGCTGCCCCCACAAACTCCCCTTCTGGAAACTGACCCCTGCAGCCTGGCCACTGCGTGTTGGCAACTCCACGCTGCCACGCTGGAGTTTCCAGAGCCCCTTGTGAGAGCCTCCAGAGGATTTGAGTGACCTTGGCCTTGAGTGAAGCCAAGCGAGACCTCTCCCCTCTGCAGACTTGCCGTGTGAGAGCTCTGGGGTCTGAGCAGGGTAAAAACGACCCCCATTCCTGCTGGGTCCCTCCCAGGCTCTTCTGCCACATCCCCTGGGTCCTCTCTGGCTAGCTCAATTTTTGTGTCTGGGCCAGGCCGGGAGAAAGCATTGGCTCAGCCCCTGTTTGTCAGGAGTCCAGCATCACCCGGGGTCTCGCCTGGTTTCAAGTATTTCCCAGTGCCTTGCCTTGCTCCGTAGTCAAGTTTCTAGCCAGGATTTCTTGGCTCTGGGAAAGATTGAGTGCCTGTCGGAGCCTTCGAGGCCTGTGTTTCATTTGCAGCCGCCTGGCTGACTGGGTGACGGTCCTGGCCCTGCCCGGTTAGCCCGTCCCCTTCTGCTTGGCCAGCAGAGGAGGGCTTTTGCGTCGTCTGTCCTAAGTCTTAAGAGGGAGGAGGCTCCCAGTTTCAGTCCTCAGCCCTACGGGGTTTATTGCAGCTCCAGCCCAGGCTCAGGGGTGGCACTGCCTTCCAAAAGCCAGCATTTCCTGCCTGTCTGGAAAAAGCAAGAATGCCAACCCCAAACAGCCCCGGCTCCTAACTGTTTCTAAGTCAGACTAGGACCTGTTCAGCACCTGGCGCTCTCCTGCTAGAAATTTCCAGCTGTTCTGATCTTTCACACAGGGCTTGGCAAGGCTGAAAGGGTCTGGAAGCAAGTGAATTCAGGAAGCCTGCAGAACATTAGGCCTGGGCTGGTGGGCGCCTCTCCCCCTCCCTGCTTAAGGACCCCCTCTTAGACTTGTCGATCACACCCTACCTTTGGATTCACCTGGGGCAGAAGTTGGGGTGCTGGCCCTGGAGTCCAAGCGCCAGGGAAGAAAGAAAGTTCACCATGTACCACTGTGCCCCAGGCAAGGTGCCCGAGGTTTGCCAGCCCAGTGTGGAGAATGCGTGTGAGCCAAGGCTGTAGGTTTCAGGAGCCAACTTAGGAGCCTGTTCAGGACCTGGACATTGAAGCATAGAACTCAGGGGACCCCCAACGTGTCCTCATCACTGTAGGTGACCCATGCCCTGCCATAGTGTGCGAAAGCTGTGAATGTTAAAATAATGCATCTTTGACAAAGACGTCTTCTCTTCCTCTTTTTTCAGACTATAATGTACTTCCTGAGCTCTTGTTTGCTTTTTTTGAGCTACCAGGATCAAAGGTACACAGACAAACACTTGCGTATTTGTAGCCTGTGGCGGGTAATCGTCAGGCTCAGGCGTGTGTTGGTCGTTGCCATCATGCGAGGAGGAAAAGTGCATTGTTGGTGAGGGTTTGTTCTTTACACTTCTTTCTCTCTAATAAGCGTACAGGAGATAAGATAGGCAGTTGGAAAGGCGCCCTGCCTGTGCCCCATCCTTCCAGCCCAGCGTATATTTCTCGCTCCCTTCCCCCAGAGTTGCTAAACCCCACCAGCTGACCTCTGCCTTGGGAGTGAGGAGCTGCACCCTGACTGGGGGGGTTAAGGAAAGTTGTGTTAGGCGCTTCCTTGGAACACAGGGAAGTCCCTGGATGGTGCATAGGTTGGCGGGTGGGAGGAGCTGCAGTTCTCACCTGCTGCAGGGCAGGTGGTGACAGGTCCCAATGACTTGGGTTTGGCCCATCGTCTGGCTAAAATAGGAGGGCCCACACACCACCCCACTCTGAGGGACAGGAACTAGCCTCATGCACAGATGAGGACACTGAGGCCCAGAAATTCCACGACTGCCCAAGGTCTTTCAGTCAGTCAAAACCTCCAAGAACACGTATCCTGACTCCTGGGCTGGGGATGGGACCCGACTTGTCCTTCTGGAGGCCCCGGTTTGCGCTGATGGGCCAGTCCCTTGGCATAGCCTCGGGGCCTCCCAGGCTTGGGGCAGACAGCGGGTGTGTCTGGGCTGGGCTGGGCTAGGCGGGGGCGGACGGCACAGCACGCAGGGCACGGAGAGCACAGGCTGGGAGCGGCAGCGGGAGGCCCGGCCCGCAGACGGGCAGGCCTTCGCTCCCGGTGCCCCCAGCT